AGAGGGGAAAAAAAAAGAGGAAAAAAAAGAGAAAAAAAAGAGAAAAAAAGAGAAAAAAAAGAGGGAAAAAAAAAAAGGCAAGGACCCCCCCTCCCTCCCTCCTCTGCCCGGTCCCTTCCACCCGCGACACACACACACGCGCGCACACACACACACCCCCCATTGATCAATATTTGGCTGTCTTGCTGCAACTTGCTGCAGTCTTTTAAAGGAGTAGTAGAGAGAGAGGGAGCGAGAAAGGGGAACTGACAGGAAGGGGTAAGGAGCTACACATGTCACATGTGCTTTCTAAGACGGCCAGGAGCATCTGCAGGCTGGATCTGGTGGAGGATGCTGCGGCAGGTGATACACAGAGGGCTCCAGTCGTTTTTCTACAAGCTGGGCTTATTCGTGAGCAGGCATCCGGTGTTTTTCCTCACTGTGCCCGCAGTCCTGACCATCATCTTCGGCTTCAGCCTGCTCAACCGCTTCCAGCCTGACACTGACCTGGAGAGCCTGGTAGCCCCCAGCCACAGCCTGGCCAAGATCGAGAGGAGCTTAGCCAGCAGCCTTTTCTCCCTCGATCAATCCAAAAGCCAGCTGTATTCGGACTTGCACACCCCGGGGAGGTATGGCAGGGTGATTCTCCTCTCCAAACCCGGAGGCAATATTTTGCATCAGGCTGATGTGATCCTGCAGATCCACCGAGCCGTGCTGGAAATGAAGGTGAACTACAAAGGCTATAATTATACTTTTTCCCATCTGTGTGTGTTGAGAAATCAGGATAAGAAATGCGTGCTGGATGATATTATTTCAGTGCTAGAGGATCTGAGGCAGGCTGCCCTCTCCAATAAGACAACAGCCAGGGTGCAAGTGAGCTATCCCAACACTAAATTAAAGGTATGCTCTTACTGCATGCTTTTGCCAATTAAAGAGGCAGCACTTCATTTCTTGTCCTAAGCAGCAAAGAGAAATATAATCATATCTATCTCTCTCTATCTAAATGTGTGTGAGCTGGGCTTTCCTCGCGAAGCAGCTGAAACCGGTGCCTTGCTATTGTTCTGTACGAGGAGGGAGGGTGGGGGGACCGTACGCTAACCAGGAGAAGCAGGGACTGGAGAACAGCCTCGGGACCAGGAGACCTTGCATTGCCTTGAAGGGTTAATACTTCGGGGAAAAGGGGCAGGAGGTCGGGGGGGGGTGTGTGAGAGTGTGTGTGGGGGGTCACTATCACCTTCCCCCCCCCCACTGCCATGGTGGGATAATTTATCTTTAATATGGCCAGAAAAGGCTTTCCTCAAATGCACAGTGAGCTCCTCTATCTCCCTGCCCCTGCGAGTGCCGTAGGAGCAGCAGGAGGTTTGGGCCAGAAGCGATTTCAGGTGTCCTGCCTTCTTTTTCTTTACCTGCATGCAAAGAAGGGGATGGGAGGTGGAATTTTTTTTCTCTCGGTGTGAAAATAATTAACTCTGCCGCTGATGGATGGGCTGGAGTTTTGGGACGGATCCCATCAGCTAGAGGCTTCCAGCAAAGGCAAAACAAGGTAAAAGGTGAAAGAAGTTTCAGTCCTTCCAATTAAAAGAATAAACAGTTCGGCACAAATGATCTCAGGAATATTTCCCTGGCACACAAGCACCCACCTGCTTTCCCTTTCATCTGGAGCAATCCAGTTCACCAGGACTAACCTGCCGTGAGCAAATAAGGTGCAAAGTTTGCAGGTGGCTGCCGAAAGAAGTTTCTGTGAATTACTGTGTATCTGCATGCTCCCCCAGACATTGCTCCAGAGGCAGGATTTATCTAACAGAGTGTAACAAACTCCCTAGCACACTAGTTACTCATGGCTCAGGTCATAGGGAAGAGGATACGGTCCTTCTTGTAAACCAGAGAGGCTCTTGGGGTTACCTGTCCCCCTTTTTTCAAAGAGCTCCTCAGGGATGAGGGCGGTAGTGCTCTTATGAGCACCGGCCAGATCCTGAAGTTATCATTTGTTTCTTACTGTTCATTTACCAGGAAAAAAGTAAAGCTAGTCCCTGCCCCAAAAACTGAAGCAGAGACATAGATTGATTTTATTGGTCTTTTTGCTTCAGTAAAAGGGCCGGGTGGGACAGCTGGGATTTGGTCCCGTTGCTCTGGATGTCACAGTAATTGCTTTGTGCAGAGTTGTGGCTGTTTTGAGTTGAGAGTGTGGAAACAAAAAGGTGTCCTTGCTGCTGCTGGAAAGTCCTGAGTGCAAGGAGTGCTCAGAAACACAAATTGTTCTGGACTAAATATCCCTGAACAAATTTTATCTTTCAGTTTGCTGGGAAGACAATCCTGCTATTGCAGAATTAAAGTGCTTTCCTTCCATTTGGTTTATTTTTAAAGTCAAGATTAAGTTAGTTCTGTGGAGAACACTGATAATCTAGACTAACATCATTATAAACCAGCTTTATACAGAAATAGTCATTCTACTCCCACAATCCAGATTAATTTTCTTGTGTAGAGAAACCCTAACTGAGCTTGGCAAAACTAGGATGGGGTCACTTACAATGTAGTTTTTTACTAGGACAGTGCCTACATCTCCTCCTTTTTTTAAAGATAAAAGCAAAGGAAAAAATAATGTGGTCTGGATTCGTGATTTATTGGAATAAAAGTGATCAGTAGATAATTCACACAGAGAAAGGTTTTCCCAAAGCGTTGATGTCTGACTCTGAGCACTGCCAAATACCAGCCCGGCACCTCCAGTCCCCCAAGTAGCTGTTGTGTATCATCTTCTAGATGAAGGAATAAATGCCCTTAAGCATCTAGGTTTAAAGTTGGACAGAGCAGGCAGCCTTCTACCCACTTCTCCGTGAAGGGAGGTAAAGCCACCAAAATCTGTGACTGCACCTTCGAGAAAAGCTAACAATTACAACCCATTTCTGCAGACAGGCAGAGTCCCTGGTGTTACTAAGACAGAGAAACACACTTTGCCACAATTTTTCTTTTTCTGGTATGATAAGGACTCTGTTGTGGGACCGTGGTCAGCCCCGAACCCGGACTGCCCTTCAGCTGTGGTGTATCCTCAGAGACTCACCTCCTCCTGTCTCTTCTGGGAATAAATTACTACTTTGTATAGATTAATTCACTAGGTCATCTCTGTCATCTCTGTTGTCCCGTCTACCAAGGGTTAGGAAGCTGTGGGCAAATGTCTCTTGCTCTCCTTCAAGCCACGGCCAAAATCTTGGTTTAGTCCAGGCTCTGAGGCTATTTACTGACCTCCTTCTCTCTGCACCTCTGAGCAAAGGCTGTAGAAACACAGGACTGTGCTGCTTGTTTTGGGATCTCTAGATGTGTTTAACCAGAAACATCTCAGATGCTGCACCCACTAGGGGAGATCAGCCTCTGGATGTTCAGCAATGGGAAACAACCCCTATGGCTGTAGCTATGAGGTTTTTGATTTCTTTTTACTTGAGTCGTGACATGAAGGAGTGGTTGTGACTAGACCTCATGGGAATGTAAACGAGAGGGCCAAATCTGCCTGCCTTATTCAGTATGGACCAGTGTTCACCACACTCACCAGTCCATGTCCTTGGGACCTTTCTCAGCTAAACTTCCCTGCACCATAAGGACCCGCCAGGATCTTCTAGGTTGCCTCAGTTTCTCAAAGGACATGCTGCTTGGTTAATACTGGTAGATTTTGCTCTGTCTTGTTCTTTGAGTAATGGCCACAGATTGAATAAAATTCTTCTAAGAACAATACAGTAGGTTTACAAACTGTGAAGGTGTCCCAGATGTGTCTAGTGTGCAGCTGACATGGGTCAAGTGTCAGCCTGTACTGGTTTGGAAACCACAATGACAACGTTGAGCTGTTCCAACCCCTCTCCTGCTCCATCTGGGAGCTGCAAAATCATCTTGTAGTTTTTTTCCCTCAAGCCTTGTGAGCACCACTCACTTTGTCCCTCTTCTTGTCTCCTGCTGGAGGCCAAATTGGTCTGATTCTCTCAGGTGAGGCTGGCTGAAGGCTGGCTGTGGGTGAGCTCTTGCCAGGTCTTTCACGGGAGCTTTGTGGGAGCCGTACGAGCAGGTTTCAGCAAACTGCTCCGGTTTTGAAACAGCTGCTACTGGGCTGCAAAATCTAATGAAACTGCTTGGCTTTTCCTAAGAAAATCTGGCTGTGAAGGGTAATGATTGTTTAATCGTTACTTGCTGTAGTGTTGGAAGAGCTTATAGGCTTGAATACATCTATCTTCACTGCCCCTCTAAGCTGGGAAGTCTTGGTCTCTCCACTCGCCAGATAAAGAGCAGAGACATGGCACTTACATCCAGAGTGCAGACTGCAGTGTGGTTTCAAATGCCTGAGATGGGATTAAAATCCACTCCGGCAACACAGGGCTCATTGTAGGCTAGTTTACTCTTCTGAAAGGCCAGGTGAATCAGGCTGTAGGAAAACGCCTGCTCCCATTGCTTGGGGACACTGTCTAGCCTGTTCACCGTTATTGCTACGCTACGCTGCAGTCTGCAGCCCAGCCAGAAGAGTGACTTGCCCAAGGTCATGCAGATAGACCGTGGCGGAGCAGGAAAACAAAGCTGCATGTATAAAGTCTTGATGAAGACTTGTCAGATACGTCCTGGAGCAAGATTTCTCATGCTTTCCCCAGCCCGGGACGAAACAACAACGTTCCTGTGCTTGGGGTCTGGATTGTGCCCTAGCCACATGGACTGGACAAGTCTACACTGAGCACTGACCATCAGTCATTAAATTGTTAAATCACAAGTTTTGACAAATCCCGGCATAATTTTTGTCAGTTAAGACTTCCAGGACAGTGCTTGGACATGACTTCGGAGGTAACATGGGAAAGGGTCCGTTCCTTGTTAATGTATTTACTCCGTTCTGGGGATAACCATGTGTATCTGCTTGGATATGTTGTACCCCTGCCCCCAGGGCCAGAGTATGGTCTGAGGCACATTATATTTATTGGTATAGACAGAATTATTGATTACCTGGGGATTACTTCTTGTATACTACCAGATATGAGGAAGGAGATTGTGTTTTGACCCTGATTTGCCAATAATCCTAGCAAATTTGCTGTCCTTATCAGGAAAAAAGAAAAAACAAAAATCACTACAAAGAATGAAAATTATTTCTGAACACAGTCCTTACCCAGAGGAAAAAAAAAGGCATGAAAGCATTTTTTCAGGTATTTCATCTTTACTGTTTCTTTTCATGTTTATTTGCTAGTTTGTCTGAGAAAAGATAATAACTTAGAACTTATCTCTCTCTGAGATCAGAATGAATATGACAACTGCTGGTTAAAAGCAGCCTTTGTAAGCAGATTGGGTTTTGTAATACCACCTCCAATTAATTAAGTATCAGCCATTTATGAACACTAGGCTAAACAGCAGCCAATAAAGCAGACATCTCCATTACCACATTTGTGATAAACACATCAACTGGATATTGAATGCTTTATTGTGTAAGTAGAAAAGTTACTTGCATTCACGTAGCATCTTGAAACCTGTAACTGCAGATTTGCAGCTGCCCAGATTCTCAATTTTTCTTACACTAACAGCTGGACTTTTAAATGACTCTTGCTCCATTTATGTTCATGGAGTCTTTCCCACTGCTCTAAGATTAACCCCTCCTTAGATGACCCCTAGGCACCGGCCACCTCCATGGGACAGAGAGGATATAAAACCAGAGCCCACTTACATCGGAGTAGGCTTATGTGTATCGATAATATCCACAAACTGATTATTCCTCCAATAAAGTTGGTCCAAGTATAAGTTTACTCTGACTCCTAGGACCATATGCTTCCTTGGAGGCAGTGTGGTTCTGTACCCATTTGTGATACCACCCGTCCCAATCCAAGCCTACGGCTCAGGATCCTGTGAAGTGCTCTGTGGCTGGGAAAAGCTGCTAAGTCAAAGCAAAGTAACGA